CACGAAAAAAAATCATATGGAACGATTTAGAAATCATTTTCAAAAAAACGCATCGATTTTGACTCATTTTTGAAAAAAATTGTAAAAAATAGAAAATATCATTGCTTTTTAAAAAGAATTATACCGGTTGCAAGATTCCAAACGAAAAAATTACTTTAATTAATATCTACACTATTTAAATTTGAAGGTAAACAAACGTATGCAACTATAAAACTAGGTGTATCTTCTCACGAACCGCACGACGCAAAACTCGCCAACGGTACAAAAAGTTTGGGAATGATCCAAGGAATCCATTTTGATCATTTATATTCCAAAAGTGCCATTAGTTAAAAAGATATTAATTAAAAACCTTAAAACGCATAATTATTGCCATTTTTCCACGCTAGGTGGCGAAGTTCCAATTTTCTGACCTTTTTTTTTTTTTTATCCCAGACGCTTTAAAAACACGATCTAATTCAAATCATAACTACAGAATCGGAAAGATCATTTACTTCGCTACGATATGGTATAATTTATTTTACAAAATAATATTTTATATTTTTCACGATTTTTTCTAAAATCAGTTAAAATCTATACGTTTTATTGAAAACGATTTCTAAATCGTTCCGATTGCATTTCTTTTCATGTTAATGAAATGATATTCTACACTAATAAAATTCATGCTTTTCTCTTTTAGAATCACTGATTTAAAAAATAAAAAGTCAAAACATTTTTTTTCCCGATTTTTCAAAAATTTCAATTTTTCAAATTTTTATTAAAATATACTTAATAATTTCTTTAATTATAAAAATAATCTCATGAAGCATTTTTTTCCGTGTGTGTAGAACAATATTATTTATAATCTGCACAAAAATTGAAAAAATTGCTTAAAAATTACGGCTTAAAAAATTGCGTTTTTCGTTTTTTTTCCCTTTTTGCGAGAAATACACTGCTGACAACCGTAAATGCAACACCAAGGAAGACAAGAGATAGCACAACAAATTTATTTTGTAGATAACATGTTGACCAAGTATCAAATGATTACATTTATAGAATTCTACGAAGTGTGGTTCCTGCCAGAATCAGTAGCCAGAGTAGCCGTCATTGTTGGAGATCACAGCTGCAACACGTCTCGGCATTTATTCAAAGAAACTTTGTATGTGTTCTTGGGGTACAGCAGAACAAACAGCTTCCACACGTTGCCAAAGTTGATCTTTTGTGGCAGCTGGGGCTGTAATCTGGTTCAATCATTGAGCAACCATAGACCACATGTTTTCTATCTGCGAAAGATCCGGAGAGCGAGCCGGCCAGGGAAGCAATTCAATTTGGTGATACAAGTAAAGACAATTTCGTTCCATTCTGCCACCCACATCCTACTTTCATCGCACCATTGGCGGCGGAGACGTGTGGGGTTCTGCGTCAAGGGTAGACCACGCAAAGAACGTCTTGCGGACAGACCACTCTGCTGTAAATGGCGTCAAATGGTACGCGCAGAAACTGAATGATGCGTTATAGACTCAATATGCTGTGCTATGGTTCTTGAGGCGACTGAGCGATCCGTCACTGCCATGCGCACAATTTGCCTATCCTCACGTGAAGTGGTGCACTGAGGTGGATGCCATCGACCACGTCGGTCCGGCGTACCCTCCTGCATCCAACGGTCACATATCCATTTTACAGTTGTTTGGTTTCGTCCAACTCGACTACCGATTTCTCTGAAAGATAATCCACAATCTCTCGGTAGGTCACTGTCCTTCCTCTGTCGAACTCGGATACTTGATCAAAAGCTGATCACTGTTTTCCACAAGACATAACTGATCTTTTTTGAAAAACCACAAGAAAAACACAATTGCCGAAATTGAAATCGTCGAAATCTCCAAGCCTTAAACAGCGCTTTGAGGTGGCGCCAAAAGCGCGTGATGTGTGTCTGCGCTGAAATTCTAATCATTTGCATACCTCACCTCCACTAATACATGTTGTAAATTTCATGTTATTTGCATGCTTCCTTCAGGGTGTTGCATTTATGGTGGTCAGCAGTGTATTTAAGTATTATTTTTGTTACGTTTTTTGTTTAAAAATTACCAATGTTTCTAATCGATATATGAAGTTCGAAAGCATTAACTGAAAAAGGAAAGCCGAAAAAAAATTTTTAAACTTTAACAAATAACGCAATGCAAAATTAAATATCTCTTCCTTTTATTTCAAAACGGTCTTTTATTTATTTTTTCCCAATATTTCCTCGATTAGTCGCTAAGAGCGCTGGATTAGTAACTTTTGTACTCGGGTTGAAAACAACATCGTCATTTAACTGTTATGGTTTTTTTTAAATTACTCAAAATTTTATTCGCGAATTTAATAACTTCGCCATAAATTTCGTAATTGGAAACATAATTTATTTCGTCACGATACAGTATATTTTTTTTTACGAAACAACTATATTTTATGATTTTTCTCCATGCGTTTATATGAAAATGATTTTTAAAAACTCATACTTTGATCTTTTACAGTTAGTGATTTAAAAAATAAAACGTGGCAAAAACTTTTTCTATGAATTTCATTTGTACAATAGTTCTTTATTTTCCGTGCCACTATATGACTTCACGTGTCAAGCTGCTTAAAAATCGGTAAGTCATTTACTAGAGAGCTCTGTTTGCGAGAGGGGAAGGGGAATTTCCATCACAATATGTTATACATTTAAAAATTTACTTGCAACGACGGGGGGTATACACCTGTCTGACAAAAGAAGAAGCGAACAAATGCAGAAACATGGAACTTTAAGTTATACACTCGGTAAAAGCCCGAGCAACGAAGGGCTAAACGGAGGAGGGGGAGAGTGGAAGTCATTTTGAAAAAGAGTATTAGAAGTGCTGATTTTGTGAAGGAAAAGGAAAATTTATAAAAGTAGAGAATTCCCCTGCAACTCCATGCCATGAAGCTACTCTTTTTAACTAATTGCGATATAAATGGTCAAAACATGCATTGTCATTCAAACTAAACGTTTGTACAAAATTTCAGCTCAATCCATTGAATACATCAGCTTCAAAATTGATTTGCAAGATTCCACCCGAACACATTACTTCAGTTAATATCTTTTTAAGTAATTGCGGTATCGGAATACAAATGGTCAAAACATGCATTGTCATCCAAACTAAACGTGTATACAAAATTTCAGTTCAATCCATTGAAGACATCAGCTTCAAAATTGAGTTGCAAGATTCCACCCGAACACATTACGTTAGTTAATATCTTTTTAAGTAATTGCGATATTGGAATAAAAATGGTCAAAACATGCATTGTCATCCAAACTAAACGTGTATACAAAATTTCAGCTCATTCGGTTAAAGGCATCAGGTTCAAAATTGATTTGCAAGATTCCACCCGAACATTTTGCATTGCAATTCGTACACTGCTGGACAATTGCTAAGGACGGATCAGAAATTGCTATGTAGCATAACATTAAGCGAGACATGAGGCCTAGTAGGATAAAATATAGTTCCCAAACTGTTCAGACATTAGAATAAAGAATATTTATTGTTCTGGAAAGTACAAAAGCTGTGAAACATCTGAAAAGAAAAAAATGTTCATTTGATCTGCGTACGGAGAAATGGAACAATGCATCTAAAAGTCAACAGACACCTTAAAGAAAGGTATCAGTACGGGATATGTCCACCGTGGAGTGTGATGCAACATTCCACACGTCGTACCATACTTTGCACAACATTATCCAGCAGCCGTTGAGGCAATTTATCCCATTCCTATGTAAGTGCACGGATGAGGGTGTTTTTGTTTGTCGGAGGATAGCTTCGACCAGCAACTTGCCTCCCTAAAGCATCCCACACATTTTCAATGGGGTTTAGATCTGGAGAACACGCTGGCCATACAAGACGTTGAATACCCTCGCTGTCTAGACAATCCTGAACAGCGAGTGTTCGATGACATGTTGCGTTGTCGTCCATAAAAACAAATTTATCACCGACAGCACCACGGAAATGTCGAACATGAGGAAGTAGAACTTCATCAATGTATCGTTGGCCCATCATAGTCCCATTCGCAACCACATGAAGGTGCGTGCAGCCATTGATCATGATGCCGGCCCACACCATGATACTGCATGTCGGATATCGGTCCTTTTCCTGGGTATTTTCTGGACGATAAGCAGTACCACTCTCGCGCCAGATCAATTGGCGTCTACAATCCGATGACAGACTGAACCTACTCTCATCTGAGAATAGTACGCATGCCCAGTCCTGTCCAGTCCAATTGTGATGCTCACGACACCATTGCAAACGGGCAGTACGGTGCTGTCTGGTCAATGGGACACACACAACAGGTCTGCGTGCGTATAGTCCTCCTCCCCTCAAACGTCTGGCAACAGTTTTTCGGCAGATCTGCTTTCCTGAGGCAGCAAGAAACTGATTTTCCACCTGCTGAGCTGTGGTGCGCCTGTTTCTTTTTGCTGATAGGACGATATATATGTCTTCTGCAGGCGTCGTACTTCTACCACGACCTCCCCCGTGCCGTCTACTACACATTCCAGTAGTTTTAAATGACTTCCACAGCCGTGAAACAACGCTGTGAGCGATGTCGAACTCCCTAGCAACATCTGTTATTTTTCGCCCTTCTTCGATCTTTCCAATAATTCGGCCACGCATAAAATCATCTATGTGATGTCGGGAAGACATGCCAAAAATTTTAAGTTCGTCTATTAAATCTTTCCTGTAAAACTTTGACTTGAAACAACAACTATCCACACGAGTCAAAACCTTTAAAGCTCTTATGAACGCTATCACGTGATGAACAGACGTGGAAAAAAAATTGCATACTCATACTTCTTACTAATATCCCACACTTATTCTAATTTTCCACAATTTGCTTCCTTTCATTTTGTGGTTGCTATGGATGATAGTGTTATCCGTCCTTAGCAATTGTCCAGCAGTGTATTTTGAGTGGAAATATTATAAAATATCTCGTCGTACAAATTAAACAAATTTCAAAAATATTTTACGCGAAAAAAGAATAATTCGACGCGCGGGGTATCAAGTCCCGTACCTCTTGCGTGCTAAGCGAGTGCTCTACCATCTGAGCTACGCTCTCGGTCGACACTTGTGTTATCGTAAACATGCTCCTCTTAACACCTGAACTAGTTCGTTATAGTTACTAATTCAAATAAAAGTGTTACAGGAGAAACTAGAATCGAGTAAATAGATCTCACAGAATGTTTCAAATAGAAATCGTTTTATTGTGTGTGTGATCTGCCTTTCTTAGTGTTCCCTCTAGAAAAGTAAAAATATAACATACTTTATACGTATGCTGAGTGGAATTATTGTAGAATATCTTGTTGTAAAGAAAAATCAAATGAACTTCAAAAATATTTTACACGAAAAAATAATAATTGTAGGCGCGGCGTATCGCTCCACGTACCTCTTGCATGCTAAGGGAACGCTCTACCATCTGAGCTACGCCCCTGGTCCATACTTTTGTTATTTTAAACATGCTCGCCTTAACACCTGAACAAGACCGTTACAGTAACTAGGTAGATATCGGAATATGAATGGTTAAAGCATGCATTGTCATCCAAACTAAACGTGTATACAAAATATCAGCTCAATCGGTTGAAGACATCAGCTTCAAAATTGAGTTGCAAGCATTTATTTCGTCAATAGATATTTACGGTCTGTTTTGATTCTTTATTTGTTAATCATGATTTTCTGCATGCCGATTCATCGATAGTGTTTTACATTCTTTTTTTGTCCTATTTATGAATAATTTCTGGGCTTACATATAAAAAAGACAATATGGTCAGTGACAAGAAATAAAAAATCAATCATATACACTGGACTTCAATACACAGAGAAACAATAATTTCATTTACGGTGGAGTTTGAACTGATTACATATATATGTGTGTGTGTGTGTGTGTGTGTGTGTGTGTGTGTGTGTGTGTGTGTGTGTGTGTGTGTGTGTGTGTGTGTGTGTGTGTGTGTGTGTGTGTGTGTGTGTGTGTGTGTGTGTGTGTGTGTGTGTGTGTGTGTGTGTGTGTGTGTGTGTGTGTGTGTGTGTGTGTGTGTGTGTGTGTGTGTGTGTGTGTGTGTGTGTGTGTGTGTGCGTGTGTGTGTGTGCGTGCGTGCGTGCGTGTGTGTGTGTGTGTGTGTGTGTGTGTGTGTGTGTGTGTGTGTGTGTGTGTGTGTGTGTGTGTGTGTGTGTGTGTGTGTGTGTGTGTGTGTGTGTGTGTGTGTGTGTGTGTGTGTGTGTGTGTGTGTGTGTGTGTGTGTGTGTGTGTGTGTGTGTGTGTGTGTGTGTGTGTGTGTGTGTGATTTTGAGGGCTTAAATTAAATTACGGCCTTAATTTTTATTTAGAGGTCGAATTTCAAAGATATAACATTTTAGCAAAAATTACTTTGTACTTTTTTAAGATTATAATGATCAATATTCTGTGTTTGTTTTCTTTTAAAGTTATGTAAATATTAATTTATAATACTATAGCAAAGTTATGAATGAACCCAACTAGTCCCAGAATACACGGGAAGCTTTTAGCTTTGTGTTTTTCTATAACTGTAACAAATCAAATCCAAGATTTTACCTTAATTCTTCGAATATATGATATCTTGATTCTTTTTTTTAACTAGTCGTCTTATTTAAAGGTTAACAAATAAATTTGCTAAAAAAAATTTCATAATTAAAAGAGGCATTTTCCGTCCTTCTAAATTGAAAGTATTATTTGTTTTTATCTAAATCCTGTACAAATTACTTTATAAGGAATAGGTTGACAGGGTATGATGAACGATGACTAGATAGAGAAAAAAATATGATAGATAACTAGTGGAATGTCTCGGTACAAATAAAAACATTGAAGTACCACACGAAATATATTTCAGAAATCTGCTATCCTTCTTGGAATCCAGAGTGTATGCTCTTCAGTTACTCATATTATATCGCAGATAGATTATATAGCTCATCTGCATTGAACTTTTAAAATAACTTCTTTGTCACCGGAAAATGTAAGAGAATTTGCATTGTATAAATACGATGAGACTAAACGTCATAAATTACATACGTTACAATATCTCCTTCAAATGTTTTGATTTTTATAAACATTTGCAAATATTTTTAAAAATTTTGTATTTTGGATAACTTATACTCCTAGAGCTCAACCATTATGCGTGCGTATAAGGCGCATTACTTTAACAAACTAGCCTAGTGGTCCACCTCACGGGCTCGTGGCTGGTATGCAATGAGTTGGAGCCTAATACTGCTGAAAACCCGACGTGTAGAGGAGTCCGATGCACGTTAAAACTGAGTAATTAAGAGTCTCACGCTCCCTCCCATTGCTGAGGGAGAGGACAGTCCCAGCTCATGTGTTGTGCTCATCACTTGACCATGGCTCAAAATTTCGAAGACCCTCACCAATACCCTTCAAGTATCTTGAAAGTAAGACGTTACGTTAAGATAAGTATCTCTTGTGGCTCAAAACAACTGAAAATAACTAATTAATCATACTTCTAACACTATTCGATATTCCTAAAATCGAAATGAACATCATAATTAATTTTAGTAGTATTTCAAAGCTATACTTCTTCTGACTATGAAAAATCTGAAGAATTTAAAGAAATATTTATTAACATAAAATATAAATCGAAGAAATTTACGATATTTTTTTCGAAAAAAAAAAGAAATTAAAAAAAGGGCACACTTATTTAAATTTTATATTCAAATAAAATAATACAATGGCTAAAATTCACACATTAAAAGTTTACGACAAGTTTATGAACAATATTTTTTATAAGCGGTTCTTAAATGTTAGCAACGAAATCTCCAAACAATGAATTCTTCAAATTTTTTTTCAATAAATTAAATTATAGAGTCATGTAGCATTGATATTAAATCAATCAGTGTAAAGAAATAATTGCAGTGACATTGATTTTCAGAGCTTTTTGAAATTATCTTCAGAAAAGAAATGTTTGCATTCCTTACATGTGTATTGTTTATACTAAAATTATAACTTCTTTTTTTTTATTCTTTTGTCTAAATTAATTGCAAAAAATTTGTTCTGAAAAATTTCTTTTTTACTCATTTTAATTATTTAATATATGTTTATGACAACAATGTGACAAGTAATACAAAAAAATTAAGTCAATTCCTACTTAGGTCAAAAAAGAAATAATTTATTTTAGTTGCTTTATTAAATATTTACAATTAATGTAACACATCTGATAGAATCATCACAATATTATTAAGTGGCAAAATAGAAAACGATTTTCCTTGCAATCTTCCATTTTCCTTTCTATACATGGTGATGCACTTTTATAGCTTGTTACTATTTATTCGTTAATTTAATTTAATATTTCAATAAAATATTATAGTAAAATAAGAAATCGCATTCCCAGAACTGCGACCATTCCAGGTGGGATTCGAAACCGCGATTTTTGGATTGGAAGTCCAACGCGCTATGCATTACGCTGCAAGGACACAACGAACGATTTTCTTTTCTGTATACGCTGTCGAACTATTATTTTTGTTTGTTATTACTTATTAATTTTTTAAATTTAATTAATGAATTATGTTTGAAAAAATATATTAACTTCAAGTATCATTAATTTACAATTTAAAAAAAAAATATTTGAACTTGAATTGATGAATAGAAAGTACGATATATATATATATATATATATATATGATATATAGAAATATATATATATATATATATATATATATGTATGTATATATATAATATATATATATATATATATATAATATATATATGACGCGGTGGGCACCAAATTATGAGGGGATGTGACCCAAGGAAAAAAAGAGACACGCGGGGAACGGGTTCTTTACGAAGAACCCCTCCCCCCTTCTTTACGAAGTCCACTAGTTAATTAAACACATTTATTAGACAAAACAAACATTTACATACATAACTAGAGAACTAATAGTTAGCATAGAATTGAAAGGGATCGGAGCGCATGCTCGTACATCCTTACAGTTCCGAAACTTGGCCATTACTGAAGATTGTTCTGTCCGCCAGAGGGAGCGACAGTCTTTCTGCTGTTAATATGGGAAGAGTCTAAACAACGGGGGGAGGGGGTTACATATATAATATATATATATAGATAGATAGATAGATAGATATATTAAATACATATAAATCAACAGCATTTGGCAAAATACAACATATAATTTAACATTTCTATACTGTATAATGTTTGAAACACATAAAAAAACACAACATAATTCTACATAATCTATACGTTCTAATCTATATTTTTATTAAATGCTGTATGTATTGTTTATAGTAAAATAAGAACTTCGCTTTTTATCCTTTTATCTGAATTTATTGGAGAAAAACATAGTTTGAAAAATTCCTTTTTACTGGGTTTAAAGAAAGGTACGATTATGACAACTATAAAAAAGTACAAAATATAATTCTAAATATTTTTTTACTTCAGTAACTCTCACAAATATATAACATACATATAAGTAAACAGTAGTTTGCAAAAATATTATCAGAAAAATCTGTTAGAATTTCTAAAATGAATAATGTTTAAAATACGTAAATAAAACACTAAATCATTCTTAGAATGATTTTTAAGAAAACAGAAAAAAAGATTACTAAAAATTCTAACCTGTATTTTTATAAAATACAGTAGGTTTTAAAATATACCTAAAATATGTGAATGTTTGTCAAAGGAAATTAACATTAACATATTTCTTAATTTTAAAATTACTTTCTTCGTTTTGAGTATGCACACTATATTTCTGGAAAAATCAATGATTATGGTCAAAACATCTTTTGCTCGAGTCCGATTGTGATTTAAGTTTCTTACTTTTATGAAAAACAGAAGTCTTCTATGCAGTTATTTGAAATGATAAGTCAAACGTTTACCTCGATTAGAAATATGTTGAAAGTGTGACTCAAAAATGAAATTTTAATCTTCTGTTTAGTGTACGACACTACAAAGTCCTCAAATGACACTTTCAGTTTAAACTTGTTTTACACCTACGGAAAAAATGACTGAGAATAAAAAAAACGGAACCTGTATATGTGTATGAATTTAAAATTAATATAATTTGGGTAAAATGAAACATGAAAGTATTTAAAA